TGCCCAGCCTGCCCTTCAGCAGCTGCCCACGGCAGCCTGGCCAGCTCCACGTCCATCTTGAAGCAATCTGGCAACTTGGTGGCAAGGGTGTTAACGGACGTTCCTACCCCTGGACCCGGTCATTCTGTTTCTGGGACTCTGTCCCAGTGTCTGAATGCAACACGCAGCAGAAATCTCCATGCTCGAGGATTTCCCCACCAATGGTACCCAGAGGACCCAATATTGGACAAGAGGGAAAAAAAATGTTCAGGAAGACAGCGGCTAAATCAACTCAGGCATGACCACAGCAGGCGAGAGAGAACTTAAGCATGTTTCTACAGAGCTGGACTATCCTGGAGGGGAAAAAAAAATCCCCGCATTAAAATGCTAAGTGGAAGAAAAATAGAATTCAAAATTAGATATGGTGTGATCAGGATTAGGTTATTAAAAACTATGCATCAAGTAAATACCAGGGAAAAACAGCCACCAGAGTGTGGACCGAGGACTTCTTTGCCGAGTGGGATTGTGGACCATGTCCCCTTCCAACTTCTTTGTGGTTTCTGAATTTTGAATGACGGCGTGTGTGACTCATAGGCTGAGAAAAACTAAGCCTGTTGTTGTCAGGTGCCATCGAGTCGGTTCCGACCCATAGCGACCCTGTGCACAACAGCATGAACCTTGCCCAGTCCCGCGCCTCCTCACAGTCGTTCTGTGCTTGGGCCCAGTGTCGTAGTCACTGCGTTAGCCCATCTTCTTGAAGGCCTTCCTCTTTTTTTGCTGCCCCTCCACTTTACCAAGCATGATGTCCTCCTCCAGGGACTGGTCTCTCCTGACAACAGGTTCAAAGTGATCCTAGTCTTGGAATTTGTCACTCGTTGGGAAGACGCAAACAAGGGCAATTCCAGTCAAGAGGATGCATCAGCAATAAGGGAATCAGGGAACAAAAGCCAATAAGGGAGCAGGATTGATTTGCTAGGGTGCCACCGAGGGTCAGGCTGGGTGTGCTCTTTTTCCATTCATGATGCTAGCTAGACGAGTCCATTAGAAAATTCAAAACTAGAGGACTCCAAACGGGCATGGCCCCTACACCACTCCTTCCATTTCCCCAGGCTCAGGACGCCCTACAAGTGAGTTCATTCTGCCTGGGTTGGGCTGGCCCTCGGTGCCCCTTGCATCCCCTGCTCTTGTTCATGCTGTTCTCCCCTCTCTGCAACTGCCATCGTCTGCACTCTCCCGACTACTGAAAAATGTCAAGGCGGCGAGTCAATGGTGCTTCTTCCGGGAAACCCTTCAGGATGTCTCCAGTCAAATTCCATTTCCCCTGCTGGTGTGCGCCTACAGCATCTGTGAATAAAGTTGTACCTGTTCCTTGTTTGAGGCTGTGGCGTCTCGGTTACTTGTCTACAGGTCTGCT